GGAGGACAAGCATTGGCTACGTCTGAAGACACTGCAGCCGTCAGGATCTCAGAGTCTCAGGGAGGGGAGGACAGGGGCGAGGACGAGGAGGAGAAGGCGGCATAGGATGCAAGGCTGAAAGCGTGGCATTGACGCGTGTGGGGCGCAGTTGGAGGGAAGGAGACGCGAATCTGTCGGCAGACGGAGTGGAGTCCGGAGCAGCAGCAATATTCGCGTCTCTGACAAAGCTCCATGTCCCACCGACGTGGATGATCTACAGGTGTGCTAGTGGCTTCGTTGGTGGAGGGGGCGAACCAGCCCATTCAGAAAAGTTGCCCATGATAGTTGACGGGGAGAGGGGCGAAGAGACACATAGTGTAACAAAGCGGGCAGCAAAGGTGAACAGCGATCTTTGGGAACAAAGGGGTGGTTTGGGAGGGTCTCTTCGGGCCATTCCTGGTGGCCCGCATAGGGGGTAAGGGAAGTGGGAGGAGGAGGAGGAGGAGGAGGAGGAGGAGGAGGAAGACGACGACGATCACGACGACGATCAAGAGGAGGAAAAGGAACAGGAAGACGATGAGGGCAAGGACGAGGAGGAGGAGGAGGAGGACAACGTAGGCGATGACAAAACGCTCGAACTCGCTTCTTGGAGCCCTCTTGGCGCTATGTTGGGAGTCTTGGGGCCCCCTTGGGAGTCGCTTGGGAGCCCTGGAGGGGCTGTAGGGGCCATCTCGGAGGCCATCGATCAAAAGAGGGAAAGTCCCAAATGTGCCTCCCTCCCCTGGGGCCATGACCATCACTTCTTGGGGCGCTCGTGGGACGCCCTTGGGGCTCTCGTGGCCCATGGTGGGTCAATCCTGAGGCCTCAAAAGCGCATCGGAAGCAAAAAGATGAGACGGCACAACTCGTTGATTTGCTTCAGGTGGTTGCAGGTTAGGGGGGGGGATCCTGAGGGGGCTCCGAGAGCACTTGACACCGTCTTGTGGCCCTCGTCGGGCCTCTCGGAGGTATGTCGGAAGTTATCTTGAACCATCTTCGGCTATCGTGAGCCGCTTTGGAGGCCCTCTTGGAGCATCGGAGGCGGCCCTCTTGAAGCAATCTTGGGCGAAACGGGAACCCCTGCCACCTTGTGACCCCCGCCTACAAACCTCAGGGAGGGCAGGGGTAGTGGACCCCTCCCCGAAGGGAAGAGGGCTCTTGGAAGAGGATAGAAACATGTCATTAGATCGCCTGAGCCCCAAGGGCTTGTGGGACTCGGTGAAACGATCGTCCATGTGAGCAAATATACATCGCAGTGTCCAATCATTGTCGGGTTGTTGATTGGGTAGGGACGCGCAGACAGAAGAAGCAGTGTGGTTGCACCCCCCGAGGAGTTTGACGACTTCGGCTTTGCGCAATGAGCTGCACTTAGTCAGTAAACAGCAGCCTGCAGAGTGGGTGCACGTTTTCGTATTCTCGCCGGCTCCCGCCAACTCGCAGCAGCACGCCCGACGAGGGGATACCGATGTTAAGATACATACAAGTAAGTATATAGTCGAATATTCATGTAGAACTATCTATACACATCGAAGTATATGTATTTGCAAAAATACATGAACACATAGCAAGTAAGATAAACACTTACAGAGACAGAGATACACATCTGTCGAAGATGCCTACGGCGGACCGCCGCCGTCACCCTGTCTGTTGGAAGGCCGTGTGCGGCCAGACGCTGGAGGAGGAGGACGAGGCGGAGGAGGAAGGTGGACGAGGAAGCGCTGCAGGAGGGAGAGGAGAGGGACGAGTGAGAGGACGAGGAGGAGGAGGAGGAGGAGGAGGAGGAGGGGGAGAAAGAGGAGGAGGAGGAGGAGGAGGAGGAGGAGAAGGAGAAGCAGGAGAACGCGAGGGACGAGAAGGAGGCCGGGGAGGGGAGGAGGAGGACAAGTTAGGTGCGCTCGCGTCATATCGGACATCCTACCCCTCCCTCCCATCCCTTACCATGGCGCAGATCCCCTCTCTACTCGCTCAGTCGGATGTCGAGCAGGGCAACAATCCCGAAAGGGTACGCGATGCATTGTAGAGCACGCCATGGCATGGCGTAGAAGAGCACCGCAAAGCGTAGTATCAACCTAGCATTGCATTGCATGCCGTGGCATGGCACGGGAAATGACGCCAGCGCTGCAGCGGGAGCACGAGTCGGAACGAGCGGAAGCGCGGAAATGAGGCCAGCGCTGCAGCGGGAGCAAGATTCGGAACGAGCGGAAGCAAGGAAATGAGGCCAGCGCTGCAGCGGGAGCACGATTCGGAACGAGCGGGGCCCGAAAATGAGGCCGGCGCCTCAGCGAGAGCAGCATTTGGAAACACATGCAGGCGAAAACCCAACTCCGGGGAAACTTGTGTAAAAAACAGTACGCGGGGGGGGGTCGGCCTCTTCCAAACCGTCATCAGGGGAAGAGGGAGAGTAGTATTCATATTGAGCAATTGTGGAGGAGGAGAAGGCGGAGGAGGAGGACGAGGAGGAGGGGGAGGAGGGGAAGGGGGGGAGAGGGACGAGAAGGAAGACGAGGAGGGAAGGAGGAGGAGGAGGAGGAGGAGGAGGAGGAGGAGGAGGAGGAGGAGGAGAGGGAGGAGGAGAGGGAGGAGGAGAGGGAGGAGGAGGAGGAGCAGGAGGAGGAGGCGGCCTCTTGGGAGCTTTTAGAGGCCTCCTGGGGCTTCAGGGAGCCTCCTGGTGGCCTTTGGGGGCCCTTGGTCGCCTATCGGTGGGCTCTTGGGCCGTCTGACTCCAGATGGGCCGCATTGGAAATCTATGGGGCCGTCTTGCGCCCATATTGGGAGGCTCTTGGACCGTCTTGGGGTCCCATTGGCCAGTGTCGGGGCCCCCTTGGAGGCTTTTGGGACGGCGTTGGGGCTATATTGGAGGCCGTTGAGCCGAAAGACAATCAATGAGGTTGGACTCTTCGGGCCCTCCTGGAGAGCCCCTGGAGCTCCCTGGGGCGTCTAGGGGGCCTCACGGGCCGCCTGGGGGACATCTTAAGTCGTAATGGAGCCATCTTGGGCAGTCTAGGAGGCGTATGGGGTTTTCTCTGACCCTCTTGTGGCCATCGTGGCCATCTTAGAATCGTCCTGGGACTGTTTCGGATGCCGTCCTGGAGCCCCTCGTGGAGCCCGTCTTGAGGCCATCTCGGCGGATCAGCCAATGCAGTGTACCGTCTCCGCGCGAACGACTGGATTTCTGTGGAAGGACCAGGGTGAGACCCCATGGGGAGCCCATTGGGAATGTTGTGGAAGGGCCTCAATATAGGCCTCCTAGATGGGGTCCGAGTAGATGGGGTCGAAGGATCGCTCCGCATCGCCGATGCATCGCCGATGCGGCTCGATGCGGACCCCGATTTGCCTCACGCCGACGTCGCCGATGCGCCGCTGATGTCGACGATGCGTCGCTGGCACATCGTCGATGCATCGCCGATGTATCGGCGCGGCGATGCGGCTCGATCCTCCGACCCCATCTACTCCGGCCCCATCTAGGAGGCCTCTACTCAAAGAATCCACCAGTGCGGCAGGCCAATGGCCCGTTTGCAATCAGGAGGGGGGCCTCGGATCGAGGACGCCCACAGGGAAGCACCGCTGCCCCCAACCCCCGCCCTTCCCGCGCAGGTCGGAAGCGCCGATTTGGCCGAACGTTGTTGCGACCAAAGCTCAGCCCAGCTGTCGGACTACAGTGGGGAGCCCATGCCAAGAAACGCCCTGCTTGCCTCCAGGCTTGGGTGTCGATGGTTTTGCTACGGAGAGCGCGACGCTTACGCACCAAGAATCGATGGGCGTCCTGGGGTCTCAGGGTTGGGTTTCTTGTAGAGGGTTTTTTGTGGTCGAGCTCCTAGTGTATGCGTTCCCCCAGCCGTTTTGGAAACCGTTCGGGGAGCACGTCGGGGAAAGCGAAGACGGGGAGGAGAGGGAGGAGCATGGAGACGGAGGAGGAGGCCTCCTGGGAGCTTCCAGGGAGCCTCTTGGAGGCCTCCTGGGGGCTTCCTTGGGCCTATTGGAGGCCTCTGCCAGCTCCTTGGGAGGCTCTTTGGCCGTCTGATGGCGTTCTTGGCCGGCATGACGACGTCGGAAGCTTTTCTGGGCCGACGTATTGTTTTCTGGGGGCGTTTCAGGCCGTTTTGGAGGTCAGCTTGGGCGGCTTGGAGAGGTCTCCTGGGCCGTCTTGGAGCCATCTTAGGGCCGTCGTTGGGGGCTCTCGGGGGCCCCTTGGGCCTGCAGGGCGCCATCTCAGAGGCCTCTTGGGCGCTGCTGGAGCCATCTTGATGGCCTCTGGGGCCGTACTAGGCCGTCGGAAAGCAGAGAATGAGCAAACGCCAGCATCTTTCTAATCACGGACGGAGCATCAATGATCTTGGAGGCCGCGTGGGCAGTCTTGGGGGCCTCGTGGGCTCTCTTGAAGCTATCTTGGCCGTCTTGGAGGCATGCTGGAGGCCATCTTGGGCCATCGTGGCCGTCTTGGCGCCCTCATGGGGCAGTCGTGGGGACCTCTTGGGCAGTCTTGGAGCTATCCTGGAGGCCTATCGGGCGCGCTTGTGGCGATCTTGATGGCCTCTTGGGCCGTGTTGGGCAGCCAGAAGGCCCAACTTGCATCCTGCAACAATTTGCAGGGAATCACTGATCGTGGCCTCTTCCGGCCGTCGTGGATGTCCTCTTGGAGGCATTCTGGGCCGTATTGGATGCCTCTGAGGGGCTGCGTGGGCCATCTTGGGCCGTCGTGGGTGCATTATGTGCCATCTTACTTTGAACGGCGGTCCCCGAGGGAGGGAAGGGGGCATGCAGCGCGCTCCTCTGCCGTGTGGCTCAGGAGCGAACGTTCTTATTGCCGCCGCACGACCTCGTGGCCGATCTGAGGGTATACGGACTGCCCCATTGTTCGGTTCACCCCTCACAATCCAACGTATACCATTCCATGCCAGAATCTTCGATGTGCCATGTGACGTTACCACGTGGCTGTCGACTTGGCAGCGGGGCTGGCAACTCTCGTGCGGCTGGCTCCCACATTAAGTCTCAAGCTTCTCCACTGCACGATCCTTGGGACCTGCGCAATGCAGTACTCCCCGCGTTGAGCCCATACTCTGTCTGCGATCCCGTGGACTTATCTGATTTGGGAAACAAGCCTGACTCAACAGAGCCGACCCGAGAGGTTTTACATACGGTTCATTGGCGAAGCACTTCAAACCGAAAGGTGAATCATACTTCCAACGCCCACACATTTCAAACCAATCAGGTTTTCTTATCCTTCGAAACAAGAGCTTGACAACTCACTACACAGGCATGGAATCACGCCGCGCGGAAAAGTGTTGAGCGTTAAACCACGACGAGTGGCCAAGACCATTAAAACAGGTGCATGACGAAGAAACGCGCCCGAGCAGCGCACCACAAGATTGAACGTGGGGGGGCTGGCTGAATACATTACGAGATGGCTCAACATTGGATCCGCTGCTGGCTACATGCACAGAAGTTGGAATTAACGATGAATACATTCCCACCTATCGGGATTTGAAATGGCACGCCTTGAAGCAAAGGCGGCTGGATCCGACATGTCGAACTTCCAACTTCTGACGACTGTCCTCTCTCGTGCCCTGGGAGTCGGCACTCAGGAGACCATGCAACTACTGCAATAGCTCAACCGCCAGATGCCGCGCACCCAAGCAGAATACGAAGCACGATTCGAGCGAACGCAGCCAGCGGGCAACATCGCCGATCGCTCCCAAGGGAACATTGGATCTATGTTCGGTCGTGGTAGCCGTGCAAACAGCCCAACATACCACGCCAACCATGCTGACGAGTCAGAGCCCGGGGAAACAGGCATGGGGGCAGAGACAGTGTTTGGGCAGACGATGTTGGTGAGGCCGCCGCCTTGTTGGCCTTGCCCCAGGCCCCCAATAACAACAATGACCCTTCAACACGGCGTTCAGGACGCACGGCTGCTGCCCCCCAACACGCATCCACCACGCGGGGACAGGCAACCCCCTATGGAATTCGCGTGCCCTGCGGACGACGAATATGATTCGCGCTCCGATTCCGACACCATGTCCTCCAACGGTAGCAAACCACTAGATTGGACCGATGTACAGAATGTGGAACGATGAATAAATGGTCCAACATTATTTCATTACAGAATACCAAGCAGAGGTGGAGGAGGTTTCCCGCAAACCAGCACGACGGGCAAGACGGAACATCAGGAGCGTGGTCGGAGGCAAAGGCAAGTGTGAAGAAGGACGGAGGCGTCTGAGCGGCAGGGGCGGCGCAGCATTTGTCACACAGTTACTTGATGAGCAGCACGACGAGTGATTCTGTCGGAGGAAATCGCAATTGCCACGGTCGCAGAACATCAGGGAACAGAAAAGGCAACACTGGCAATCCCCAAGGCCACGAC